TTTCAAAATGTGGTCACCGTATGTGATGCAACAGATGAGCTTTTACTCGAAATTTGTATGTTTCTCATTATTCTTTTAAATATGTTCATTAAATGTTTATTTTTCTCAAAATGTAAGCAGTACCCATTCTATTAGATTTTTACTGAAAAGAAAAAACACACCATTTTTGTAAAGTATAATTTATTTAGTTAATTTTTTTTTATTATTATTTTTAACCTTTTTTAAACCTTTATCAAACATTTACCAAAGTTGACTTTTATTTATTGAATACATTTTGCGTGACGTTAATGACTCAAAAATGTTGACAATTTAGTTAAGTATCAACAAAATGTCGTTCTAATTGTTCGATAATTATGTCAAGGCTACGAAAGTATTTTTTACGAATTGTATTTTTAAATATTTTCAAGTATTATTAGTTAAGGGGATTGCATACAGTCATTTTTAAGGAGTTTGGTACAGGCAATATTTAAGAAAAAGGAGGTTTTAATAAATTTCGACCATTGTCAATTAATTTACCGGGTAATTATTATAAGCTTAAATATATTATTTTTAATTTAAATAAATTTTACTATGAGCAAAAGCCGTTTTGGTTTATTTTAGACCAAAATGCCAGACAAAATGTCGACTACATATGATGTCCAATTTCAATTTTGTAAAAAGATTCGAGTTTTTTTTTAACTACTTTACTATAATTATGATATTCATCTAAAAATGTCAGCTTCTTGTAATTGAATAAATTAAATTTACAATTTTTTCAATAATTAAACCCCATTCTTTTTACATAAATAAAGAAAACAAAACCGTTTTCTACATAACCCATTAAAGTTGCCAAAGAACTTATACATCTTTATAGAATTTAAATCGGATCATCTTAAGTAGTCGAAATTTTGTCTGGCTTTCCGGTCTAAAACGTAAAAAAAAACAGACCGCGTGCAATAGCCTTAAGTAATCTTGTACTTTTAAAACCTAACCTTCTCCAGTAGGTATATTAAAAATATTTCCATATTCTTTAGATAAAAAAATGTCTCCCCAAAGAACTATTCCCCCAAAACATACATCATCACTTGTGATTTATTTAGTATATTATGCTTTATATTGCAAATTGGTGAACAATAATTTAATGTGGTTGACAAATAAACGCGTCCCTTGGGCGAGCACGGGTGGAAAAAATATGATATTTATTATTAAGAATTAAATATATTATTTAAAAAAAATAATTGAGCTCCAATAGTACGTGACGATTCCCAATACAGCTATAACCAACGTTTTAGACGTCTTATTAAAATGTAAGAAAAACAAAATCGTAAATCAATTAACGGCGTGAATCTTCTTTGGTAGATTATTAACTGTAAGTTTTGTACTGGCATCCGATTACCAATGTATATCTCTAATAATTCAAAACGACTCCAAATACAATATTATAAGCTCGAGATGTATCATTAAATATTATTAGCTTAAAATAATATTAAAAAAACCAAGTTCAACCTCTAAACCGCTTTACTCATGCAACCAGTCACATGAGAAATAATTGTTTTCTAAAAAAAAAATAGTATTTTGAAGAGTAGACTTTTCTGGATATTTTCATTTTTTAGTAAATACTTTTTGAGCTTTTTTTGTTATTGTTATTCTTAAACTTAGAAGCGAAGGCCAGTGGAATAGTGTGTGTATTAGATTTTAGAAAATATATAGTTCATTGGATCTTTCTCCTCACCTACACTTTGGTGTTAAGTCAACAACTATAAACTTTTCAAGAAATGGAAAATAAGATTTAGAAGATTATATAACATCAGGTATTAGGATAAGATAAATATTTTTTTGAATAGGATAATAAAACCACTTGTTTTGTAGTTTCCTGTATAAATTAGACATTCATAAAAACTAATAACAAAGTAGCTGTTATAAGTAAAAAAAAAAATTTGACTTAAATCTTAATGAGTTGAACTCACTGATTTTTTTTTATTAATATACGGGTTAAGTCATTTTGATAATAATAATTATATTTTATTATTTAATGTAATATCCTAATACATTTCAATATTAATTGTAGGTAACAAAATAAAAACTGGACGTATTCAATATTAAAAAAAAAAAAACTTTTTATATTAGGCATATTTTACTTGTTTATTTTTGTCATTTTTAGCTTTTCTAGATATTTTACTAGTCTGTATAGCCTTTTAATTTGGCTCACATTTACTTGAATTAGTTCTTCTTGAACTGGATATTGTACGATCATTTCGACATCATCTTCAACCGTTACTTGATATGTATTTTAATGATATTGATTATAGTGTTGTGATTACATCACTCTTTATATCATAAAATGTAATATGGCGGGAAAATAGACATAACCCTTTTATCACTAAGCAAATGGTTCAAAAAGATTTAAGTCGGTATAACAAATGACATAACTCTTGTAACAATATTAAATTGTAAATCAAAAAATATTTTATTCGACTTATCACCAAATACACTAAAATGAGAAAAATAGTGACTTATCTCAACCAACACCTCTTTATTATTCATTGAATATTACACTAAGACATAAACTATAAAGCACAAATGATAGAGATTTTTTCCTGAAATTTTCGTTGTGTATAACTCATTTTGCAAAAAAATGTTGACTTAACACCAAAAAGCAACCCAAAAATTGTGTGATAATTTTAAAGATGTATATTTTGAAGAATCTTAATTATTACTAAAGACTGTAGGAGTAAACCCAAATTTTTCTAAAATGCCACAAATAAAATTGATCTTAAGGACGGTCTGTTTTTTCACGTTTTAGATCAAAAAGCCGGACAAAATTTCAACTTCTGAGTGATAATGTATGTTTTGGGGGAATAGTTTTTTGTAGTTATTTGGAGAGACATTTTTGCAATCTAAAGAATATGGAAATATTTTTAAACCTATCTATAAAGATGTACAAGTTCTTTGTCAACTTAAGTGGGTTATGTAGGAAACAGATTTCTTTTCTGTTTTTATGTAAAAAAAATGGGGTTTAATTATTGAAAAAATTGTAAATTTAATTTATTCAATTACAAGAAGCTGAAATTTTTAGATGAATATCATAATTATAGTAAAGTAGTTAAAAAAAAACTCGAATCTTTTTACAAAATTGAAATTGGACCACCATATGTAGTCGACATTTTGTCTGGAATTTTGGTCTAAAATAAACCAAAACGGCTTTTGCTCATAGTAAAAATTATTTAAATTAAAAATAATAAATTTAAGCTTATAATAAATACCCAATAAATTAATTGACAAGTCAAAATTTATTAAAACCTCTTTTTTCTTAAATATTGCCTATACCAAACTCCTTAAAAACAGACTGCATGCAATCCCCTTAACTTGAAATTATTTAAAAATACAATTGTAATTTCGTAGCCTTGGCATAATTATCGAAAAATTAGAACGCCATTTTATTGATACCTAACCAAATTTTTAGGTCATTAACGACACGCAAAATGTATTCAATAAATAAAAGTGAACTTTAAAATATAATGGTTTAAAGAATAATAATTTTAAAAAAATTTGGTAAATTATATTTTACAAAAATGTTGTTTTTTTCTTTCCGGTAAATCTAATAAAATGGGCGTATCTGCTTACATTTTGATAAAAATAAACATTTAATGTAAATATTTAAAAGAAAAATGGGAAACATACAAATTTCGAGTAAAAACTCATCTGTTGAATCGCACACGGTGAGAACATTTTGAAAATTTTACCAAATTATTTGAAATATTTATTTAGACTTGTTATGGTCTTGTAGCTTTTCAGATGTGGATGAAGTTAATATTTTGGAATAATGCAGCTTGATTTTTTGCTAAAGAGGACATGATGCCCCTATTTATTAAGGAGTTAGGTGTAAGCATTTTTTTTGTAAAATCTTAATTAAAAGGTCGAATTGTAACGTGTACTTTTAAGTCCTCAGTAATTGAAAGACTCTTTTTTTTTATAGTTAACTGTTTTTTGGGGCTATCGCAGCGGTTTTGACTATTTAAAAAAACTTCAATAATACATTTTAAATTAAAAATAAATAATCAACAACTTTGGTACGTTTCACATAAAAATCAACATATAATGCATTAATAATTAATAATATAATAATAATAATAATAACAAAACATAATACAGTCAAATAATTTTCTTTTTATACAAAATAATAATAATAATAATAATATAAACTCAAGTTTATAAATCAGAGACAGATGTAAGACAGTTGTGCATGGTTTTTTTATGTATTAAGATTAAAACAAACAAAACGATTGAAGAAAATTTTGTTTTAGTTTTGAGAAGAGCAAACGGTTTGTGCGATAAAAAAAAAATTCTATACCGAATGATTTATTAGCTATGCACTATCGATAATGTTATTTTTAGAGAAGTAAAAAAAAAACTTTTTTAATAGGCGTTCAAATTAAAACTTCTGTAGGAATATTGGCGATAGACGATTTACACGTTGTGAAAGAAACAACAAAAAAAAATCAATTAAAAGCCAAAACTTTTTTAATTTTTTTGTTAAATGATAGAAAAAATTTTAAACGTTGACGTTGCACAGCTTAGCTAATAAATCGTTCGGTATAAAATACATAATTCAATAATATACTCTAAAAAACGATACACTTTGAATGCATTTTTTTAACATAGTAATATAAATAATTTAAACATTTTTAGTGCTTCTCTCTTATCGCTACGGTACAGTTCAATAGCTTAATGCATTTCTTTTTTATTTATAATATTATAATACTGAAAACGTTACGATGACGATAATATATTATGGTTACACAATCGAGTGGGTACATATATAAATATTATATAATATACTAGGTAGTATTATAAACACTAAGCGTGTACAACAGAAGATAGAATTTTACATAGGTACGTAACATTTAAAAAGGCTGACGTCGAAACGGTTTAATATAATAATATGTTGGTTAGGTTTTGAACGGACAAACTAATCAAAAAGTGAACAATAATGATTATCATATTATTATTTAATGTTTGTAAAAAAAAAAAATGTGTAGGTACACAAACGAGCGATGACTGCAATAATAGTTGTTTTCTTTTGTATATTTTTAATGTAGGAGAAAAAAGGTGTCATAAAGTGGTTTTCATTCCAACAATAATTATTTTCAAAGGTTTCGACCTAACAATATTATAATGTACTATATTATAATCTATTCTAATCCGTCAAACGTTATAAATTAATAATAAAACAGTAACACTATGATAAATCCTTGTGATATAGGCTTAACGTTTTTTTTTTTTTTTAATTTCTTTTACACTAGAATACTTTTTTTTTTTTATACTTATACATGATTTACACAAAATTTCGCCAAACCGGCGGTTAGGATCATCCGTAATAAATACTTAAATGCTAAAAAAAAAAAATTGTGCCTTTTGCACATCATGATCGACTACACGGCAGGCGACCGTGATGCTCACAAATTATGTGCCCAATGCTTTGGTATGCGCTTTATACAATCACAAATAACGGTTGTATGTTTTTAGTTTACAACTATAAATAATAATAAAAACATATACATTATAGGTATAATCTAGTATCCGTATATTGTGTTATCGATTAATTAATAATAATAATAATTTACACGGTAATTGACCGTTGTATGTTTATGTGACGTTAGAGGTAAGCAATTATATAGGTAGGTGGACCTAATATAGATTTATTTCATAATAACTATAATAATTTAAATATAATATGTATTTTATATCATTAAATAAAATAACGATATAATCGATTATTAATTTTGTTTTTTTTTTTAAACAATTTAATATTTTGTTTTATTTATTATTACCACGCGGGTAAACAAATTTCATATTTTACTAATAATTATATCATAATACTTTGGTATAGCGTTGTGCAATAATAATAATAATAATAAATATTGTTGTTGTATTGCGCAAAGGGCGAACGAATTCACCAGCTGCCGTCGTCATGGTAGTGGTTACCGTTTGGTTTGGTCACGGTATACGGTATGTGGTGGACATGGTAGGGACCACCGCGGTTCCTGAAACAAAAACAAGACGTTTAAGTACAAAACAATCGGGTTGAAAAGCCCGCGTAGGCGAGAACCTAGTTCAGGAGAAATGACATGACAATCTTGGAAAATATAGGAAAGTCATTGTGCCCATTGGTAGGACAGTGGAATTAAGTAGTTCAATTCATAAACGTTCTTATTTGAACACAAGAGAAATTGTCGAGGAGAACCAGATAAGATAATGTATGTATTCATTCTAGGCTTGAGGAATTGTTTTTATTTTTCAAGTGCCGTCAAAAATGTTACTGCAAGCCGGTTTACATTGATTGTTCGATTAATCAAACCCCGTTCGTCGACCGATATAGATAAATGGGCGCACAGATAGCGATGGAACCTAGATGTGAGACAATAGACGGGAGACAGTGGGAAAAGGACAAAGGAGAGTCATATAAGACTAAAAACATTGCCACGCTTCTGCATTTTTAAGTTCAGAGTCCCACGATTTTTGCCATTGGATCATGAATATGATGTCTTATGGTAATAATCAAGGAAATAATTTTAATATAACAGATAAACCGCACCCAGTTACTTTAAATATGTACCAATTTCTCCTTTCTCCTTTCATTTCTCTCTTCTCACTTCTTCTCTTTCTTCCTTATCTACTTTATACACTTTCCTATTTCTCTTCCATCTCCAATCTTGTACTCAGGTTAGGCCTAATCTAAGTGTGACGCAAATATTAAAACTGAAGTTAACAAAAAATTTCTTTTTTCGGTACACACCTTTTCATTTAAACCGTCGACGCGCTCGGATTGGTGGTGTAGTTTTTCAACAGTTCTCTCAATCTGAGAATCTCCTTGGAGGCCGAGGTGAGCTCCGACTGCAGGACTAGTTCCTTTTCGCGTAACCTTTTGATTTCGTGCTGGCAACTCTGCGATTACAATTATTTAAAAAATATTAAAACACTTTAGCGAAATTCTTGACAAAGGCGTTTTTCCAAATGACTCTCATTCCGGGTAACTTACCACGTTTTGCCGGAGCAGTTCCAGTTTGTCGCACTTCAGCCTCGTCACGTCTTGCCTTAGCCCTTCCACTCGGGAATCTCCGTTTTGCGAATCGCAGCACAAGCTGCAAGGTTTGCCACTGGGTGTCTCGGCCGAAGACATACTCTCCAGACCGGTGTCGCTGTCGACGGTGCCGGCGATGCCCATACCGTCGAGTTCTACACTGTTCAGCGACGACGAATCGCTTTCCGACATTGCAACTCGGCTGGCACCACTAAACAAAATAGGAAGATAAAAAATGTACTTATTGTAAACATAAAGAAACGGCCTCAATTCAGTGTAAACATTATGCAGTACCTGGAAGTCCTGTGCACGGGATGAATGTCGGGACTGGATATGGGCGAAGACGGCGAACTCTTTTTACTGCTCTTCGACAACGTTCGTCCAAACTGTAAAAATAACAAATCAAATAACATCCGACGACAATAGAAGATTCTCGCAAAGGAATCATCGTTAGACGACCCGAGGAATAGAACAGACATTTCTCTTAGGAGTCAGCACTCCTAAGGTGTCCAGGGGACATTGGGTGTTGGGCATCGTACGAGGGAAGGGCGAGAGTGAAAATGAAGAGAGCATTTCTAGAGAAGAGAAGATATAGTGGAAGTCAGGAGGGATCAATGATACCGTTATTTATATCAAGGTGTTGTACATACGTTGGGTACGTTTCCGTCCATCGAGCAACTGCTCATTTTTTTGGAAAGGGTGTTGTTGTTGGCTTCGACGTTGGACGCGGATTGCGTTTTCACCCTGGCTATGAGCGCTTTGCGCACCGTGTCTATGAACCTGCTGCCAGCTCCGGATATCGTACCGTTTCCGTACTCGGACGACGACGAAGACGAACCCGACTTGGCCAGTTCCGGACCGATACCGGAAACGCTGGCTTCGCACGACTGCTGTCCTAGGAAATCTCTGGTCTTGTCTTTCAGCTCCTCGCACAACGAATGCAGCAGCGACGTTCGCGTCCTCAGCTAACCAAACGAAAAACAAAAAAACAAACGTCAACCACCGTTTTTTTGGGTGGGTGATATTAGCACAATTTCAAAAGGCATCTGGCTATTCAGCTTTTCAGACCGTTCTGACTTGGAATTGTAGGTGTTTGAATAATACGTCTAGCGCCTCGTGAAATCGTGCCAATAACGGGGGACAATGTGGTGACCACCAGGCGTGTGAAAATGAACTTACCTCTAACTTGGCGAACTTGTGCGCCTTGTAGCACGCGTTTTCGGCGTTTACCAATTTGGTGAGCAGGAACTGTTTGAACTCGGGCCCGTGCCGGAAAACGGCCGGGTTCGGTAGGGTCGGCCCGAAGAAAGGTACGTCGTCTCGCGCCGTCACGCTCACTTTGTACCTGTAAGACGACAATAGGGGCGGCTTTGATTAAGAAATCAATTCGGTGGTGGTGGTCGATTCGGTACAAACCTGACGTTAGGGGTGTTGGCGTCGATCACCTGGACGACGATGTATGCGTGCAGGAAATGTGACGCGATCATGTCGGGGGTGAACGGAGTGTTGGACTCTTGAAACACTATGGCCACGATGTCGTTGCCTAAAAATATTCAACAGAAGAAATTTAACATTTAAAATATGACAGGTTGGTATGGCTGCGGAATGCTCGACGTTATCGACACACGCTTACCGATGTGCCTTTTTCTTTGCAGCTGTTGCGGGTCGTTATCCGTGTACGGCAGCAGTGACGACACGTGATAAATGATTTCTCGGTCTTTGAACACCTGATAAACCGCTTCGTCGCCCGTCTGGCCGAACTGTGTGTCCAAGCCGCCGCGGTATCTAAAAACCACCATTTAACCACGTTTAAAACCCGTGCCGCCGAAACCCAAACGACCCCGTGCAAACAGCCTTACCCCTTGTGGTCTTTCAGCTGTATCCGCTGGCCGAGCAGCTGAAGGAACTGATCGAACGCGGCAGAGGTGTGTTGGTTGGAAAACAAGTCTTCCTCGCTGGACTGTCCGAATTTTTGGTAGAGCACGCCGAATTTGAAATGCGACACGAGCACGTGTTCGTCGTAGGCGGATATCAGCTGAGACGCTTTGGAGCTCAACACAGGTGTCAAATTGGTAACGGTTAGTTGATCGTTCAAAAGCTGTAGACAAAAAGTACATTGATTACTATGCTGCAAACAAATCTGTGATGTAGGTAATTATTTTAACGTACAGTTTTACTTTTGACGGACATTTTTATTGACCTAACCTATTCTACAACATTATAAAATGAATTAATATTCGCCCCATTTTAGAGCTCCGTCAACCATTAATGGAAACGAATATTATACTTGACACGCAAATTTCGACAATATTACTCCTTGGTCTAATAGAGCACTATGACTTTATTACTTAACCGCACAATTTCGAGTTTCGATAACTTTAAAGTCAATTATCCAAAAGTGGTTATCGACCAGTCAACATTTTTAGAAAGTTTTTATGACTTTACGGGCATAATGAGTGTATTACATAATATATAATGTTAAAAATGTATCACTCTTTACATTTGCGATCATATTTTTTAAGCTGCACTGTTTCAACGAAATACAATTCAGAATGAAAAAAAAAACAGTCGGTAATAATAGCGTTAACGTCGATAATCTGTGTTGTATTATAATAATATTTTTTTTGCGATAACAACGAATTGTCGGATTTCCAAAAATGCCAGAGCACTTAAACAAAAAAATGCTTACGAGTTTATTGTTATCCGCCGCTCTCCGTTAATAATTCTCCAAGCGATTTCAATATTTCTGGAGTAGTTTTACGGTGGTAAAACGACAGCAGTATTATAGTATTATTATCTTGCCGTTGCATGTTAACAACCAGCTCTATCTAAATGGGGCGTGTGCGACCGCATTGCGCGGAGCACGTGGCATTAAGTAAACGACATACGAAACGGGTGCATTATTATTACTTTTATTATTGTTATTAAAAAAAAAAAAAAAACCGTCCAGAAGTCATCGCATACAGCGCGAGCTATTTTTATCGTCCGGACCAGTGCAGAGAAATGCGGCGAATGATGTTTATCATAATATATTTTATTTATCGGGTTTCCATTCGGCGGGCCGGACGCCAACTACTCTGGGCAATGGTTTTTTTTTATTATTATTATCATTATGCCAATGCGGCGTTTAGCCCACAAGTCTAAGCCGAAATCCGACCTAAGCAAAGACCGAAGTCGGGCTATAAACGAATAATAAATAGCGCACCGTGTTTGGATTAAAATAAAAAAAAACATAATAATATGATGTACTGCAGCTGTTCATGCGGCGGTCTAAGCAGTTATGTTCTTAGAAATATCCTACTTTTTTCGATTGCTATATTGCCTGAGGCATAGAGTAAAAATATATAATATATTATATCATATCAAGAAAGCCAGCCACAGTGTGACCACTTTAAATAGAAATAAATGCTTTTCGTCTATACTCTGCACCACAGTATCAGCCATGTCAAGTAAATATATGAATAGATGAATATTATAAGTGTGATGTGAATATATTGTTGTGTTTTGTATCACATAGCTGCAGTAGTGAAACAAATTTAAAAATCCGTACTAGAGAAATTGTATTTCCTCGTTCTGGTCAGACTGCACCTCGGTTTTATCGTCAACCCTGGTCTAGGGTTGCCAACTTTCAAATTGTGCAATGAAGGGCGAAATTGTTCATGTGTCATTTTGCCTCCTACCAAATGGAGACCTTCCGCAAATGTTATAAAGTCGTTGAGTTATATTACTATTTTTATTGAGTATACTTATTTAAAAAATGTATTTATTGGATATTAGGGGGTTGGGTCCAAATAACAAATCCGGCCCTGAACCAACATAGTATAATATAATGATTATGTATTATTATTATTGAGTAATGACTTTTAACAAATAGTCTTATTCGTTTTATTTATATCACCTTTATTAGATCTTATTTGTACGTTTGACTTAAAGAATTCCACCATTGGCCGTCGGGCAATGATAATTGAACGGATCTGGCGATTCGCGTGACCCCTAAGCAAATTTATTTGATTTCGACAAAAAGAGAGTCGAAATGAAATAGCCACTTAGCTATTACAGTTATTGGAAAACTTTTCCATCTAATCAGCGGATAAACCCTCTGGGAGTTGCCATCGACTTAAAACTTTCCGAGCAATTTTTCCAAACGATACTGAACATTACTACCGTACTCGGCGGCCACCGAGGGCCGCGCCATGTCTGGAGATTGAAAATTTCGATAACTTTTTCCTAATGGAATATTATATCTTACGGGACGGGGGGGGGGGGGGCAGAACTTTTAAGAAGAATGCGGCGAACGTCCCCGACCGAGACAAATAAATTCTAACAATTTATCTCGTTTCTTTTGGTCGTTTAATGGTCTTGTCGTGTCCGGCACTAATGAGTCGCGGGGACCGTAGAATTTTCGGGCCTGACATGTTTTTTAAATATAACAAAAAACCACCGATTTGGCGCTGTCCGGTATTGTGATTTAGTCGCCGTCATCGCCGAACGACGTCACGCCGCATAATAATAATAATATAGTATTACTAATGAACATTTTCAAGTCCCACGATTATCTAACCAACTACTACTGCACCGTGTGTTTACACTGCTCTGGGCGTGGGTCGTTGCTGTGGCCGATCATATCGAAATTACACGGCCGTCGTTTGCGCGTTATGCATTGAACACACACCAAAACTGCAGCCCTTAAAGGGTACCCAGCTGCCTTGTAGCGTTGGTTTTTTACAGTGGTTTAAAAAAAAAACACCCCTTAATAAAATACCACAGCACAATCCTAGTACAGACAAAGCGTGTCTGCGCCGTTGACAAAGCAAAACAATGTGTAGGTAATCAAACATTTTTTTTTTTATGAAATTAAACCCCAAAAAAACCAAAACTAATTACAATAATAATTCAATATTGTCGTTTTTGTTGATATTTTCTTTTTAACGTGAGACACGTTATTTGTTGGAAATATTCTTATAAGATTTTTCACTTTTTTTTTTAAATGTTATTTCGAAACGATTCCTCAAGACTTGTGACCTCTCCATGTCTACTACATGAACGAATCGACCCACGAATGCAGTTGTGCAAATTCAAAACGTTATTTGAATAATTGTGATGAAAAATTATTCGAATAATGCTTTTACAAATTCATTCGAATAAAATTGTTTTCTACATTTACTGAATTTATATAATTTGTAAATGTAGTATATAAAATTGTATTTATATAATTTATTTATATTTCTTACAAAATTTGTGACCTTTTCGTGTAAGAATCGACCTACAAACGGAGTTGTGCAAATTCTCATTCGGATAATTTGTTTTCAGTTATTTCGAATAAAACGTTATTTGAATAATTATAATAAAAATGATTCGAACAAAAAATTATTCAAATAATGCTTTTACAATTCATTCGAATAAAATTGTTTTTTCTATTTCTATATATTTTACTGAATTTATATATTTTGTAAATGTAGTATATAAAATAATTAATTAAAAAAACAAACTATTCGAAACGTTTTTTAATCGGATATTTAAATTTGATACTATTCGAAAAACTTTTTACCCTAATAATTAAATTTGAAATTATTCGAATAATGTATTCGAATAACTTTATTCGAATAGCTTTTTTACTCGACTAATGTGTTATCTAGACGACATGGTTTTAAAAATGTGTTTCATCCAGAACTCTGCCTACAAACCACCAGGTGACTTCTGAGACCGCCCGGTGTTTGACAGTTACTTGTTACAACACTTACTCTGGCCATGTGGTGCGGCGCCGACGTGGCGCAAGACGATGGGACCAGCTCGTGCGTGGTACCGGTCCGCAACCGCAACAGAAGTCTGGTGTGCTCTTGGGAAGCGACGCTTTCGGTCTTCACGCTCAACAGCACCGGTCCTAGCTGATCGTCCGTGCCTATGAAGTTGAAGTGTTCCTGGATGGGGGGCAAAAAAAAAACATTTTATTTAAAACAACGCCATACATATATAATTACAAATACAGTAGGATTAATAATAGGTATATAATTGAAAAAAAAAAAAAAAAAACGTCAAGAGTGTGTTATCAAGAGGCTTATTGTTGTGGCTGTGACGTAAATCGATTATCGACGGTAAATGGCATTGTATTTTTATTGTTTTTTTTTTTTGAACCAAGAGGGAAGTCGGTTGGAAGGCGAACGCGCAATACCACAAAAGAAGAACCGCAGAAAAGGTGAAAAAAAAAATCATAATAATAATAATAGTAATACAACGCCGGCGGAAAGGGCACACACGATATCGTGAGCGTTTCGCAAATGGCAATTATTGCATAACGACGTTGGACATTCGGATTGTCACTTGTCCTTGGGGGCCGTTTAACAAGCGCGGTGACCATGGACGGTAACCAGTGACCGAAACGACAGTCGTTTGTTGTTGTCGTCCGTCCACGCCGGAGAAAATGTTTCATTTTTACCGGCTCGGATATCCGCGACGGCATCGAGCTACCACTTATTAGCTAGATGCGGTGGCAAGTGACTGCCTGGCAAAATATAGACAATGTTTATGGACAAAAAAATGTGATAAAAAACTTGCGAAAAACGGTCGAACTCTCGTTGTAGCGTTTAAAAATAGAATTTCGAAAATCCAAACCCGACGCACCCTGGGGGATCCTACCGACTGCGCCACAGACAACTCGGACCGGATAGTGGAGAACCTTTCAACAAGTGTGGAAGATTTCAAATATCTTAGGGTTAACATAAATCATCACGATAATATGCACAATGAAATTAAATCGAGGATATATGCCGCTAACGAGAGTTATCGCGCTTTGGAAAAATGTTTCAAGTCAAAACTTCTCTCAAGTTCCCTACGACCAATCTTAACGTACCCACGTGAAGCATGATCGACTACTAAAGGAGATGAGGAAAAAATGGCTCGTTTCGAAAGAAGATTACTACGAAGGATTTATGGACCTACTCTGGAAAATGAAGTGTACAGAAGAAGAACAGCTAACTTACCAAAAACCCGGAATCAATGCATGCCAGGTCATGTCAACAAACGGAATTTCAAAGAGAGCTGTGGAAGGAAAAATAAACGGGAAAAGACTTAGGGGTCGCCTTAGACAGCCGTGGGCAGACAGAGTCAACGATGATTTCAACTAGTGCACACATGGAGTAACAGCGGACAGCATGGACGTAGGAATGTAGTAGAGGCAGCGAAAGTCGTTCAAGGACCGTAGAAGCCGAAGAAGAGTATAATGTTCTTATGTTGCTGTAAAATAATTAATATTCTTTTGGAGTAATAGGTGGTGAATGTGCCAATTTCCGTTCCGCCGGCTTGCCGTCTTGGCAAAAGCCTGTCGCCTGTCAGACGGGAATGCACTTTTAGAACATCAACAGATTTACCGCTCTCAAAGGGTTACCGAATAAATAATTTAAAAAAAAAACCCCCTCGCAGTACAGCTGACCACCGTCGTGATGATGATGATAATATATAATAATGATAAAAAAAAAACTCATTAAACGGAACACTAGCTGCGCGGCGACTGGCCGTTTAAGTGTATTAAAAAAAATAAGAACATAATATTTTTTTATTATTATTATTGTACGAAAATCGCATAGCGCGCGGTGATATACTTAAATATAGTTTTTTACGTTCGCCAACCACGTCATTGGTTCGATTTATTTTTCCGTTATACAATAAATAGCTTTTTTTATATTGCTATTATCGACGGGGAAAAAAACGACGTTACGCAAACGAGTTACCTATTATGTGTTATTATATTATGTACCTCGTTTACCGTGCGAAATGTGCAAATATAAAAATATTATTGTTATTAATATACCTCTGCCCAGTTAAGTCGGGTAGGCGTTCCTATCGTTCATCATCGTCGTCGTCATTACAATAATTGCTTTCGACCCATTAAGCAAATTACAATAATATTCAGATGCGTTTAGATGGCGAAAGCCGTTTTCGATGATTATTATTCGCAAGCACAGTTGTTGTGCAAATTCGCATTGGAATAAAACGAATGATTATTTCATCATTTATTCGAAAACAAAAAAAAAATAATCACACCATTCTAACTTAAATAATAATATATGTATTTATGCAGATAGGTTTTTATTCATATTTTACAAGTAATTACATGCGATTATACTAGCAAACAATCTTTCAGACAAAATTCTCTTGGATTTCAAATAGGTTTGAGCAAGTGAAAGAGTCATAGATTAAGTACTTTGTTCGGCGTTTATTGCGTAGAAGACTTTTTGGGAAATCCAAAATTCAACAATATCAATCTATTTAGCCAATTTGGACCTATATTTTAGGAATGTTATCAGTTTTCGTCACATTTTTTACTCGGGTCAAAAATTTAAATTTCAATCTGTTTAATTTGGCAATTTAATTCACACCATATACAATTATATAATGTTTTGAGGTTTTTCGTTCCAGTTCATTCCAATGCCTCAAATGACAATATGTGAATACCAATAATTTAGCAGACAATTATTGAAAATCAGCTGTGATAGACTTGTTTCGCTTGTGCTTTGAATTATAATATTATATTTATAGGAAATTGTGTTTTAAGCTAAAATTACTCGAAATCCGTACTTGCAATTATTTTCAATTAAATGTTCGAATAATATTATTGTTATGCTGGATATATTGAAATGATTATATGTTTAAAGTTATTCGAGTAATTTTCACTCGAATAATATGTTATCTAGATGATTATTTGGATAACGCTTGTACAACTCTGAACAAATTTTTTACAAAGAATCACTGCAATCGAACTCGGCCCTTTTGAAAAGGGGTAATATATAAAAATCTGTTCAAGTACATTACAATGTTTTACAAACAACAGGGGGAGGGGTGTCCTTATGTCGTTTCTTAACTTGTTGGGAAAAATATCCGTCCACACCCCGTTCTAACCGTTCGAGTGTCTATTAAGTAGGTATTCTGGCTAAATTATTGTTGGCTGCTTGTCGAGAGGCTGTTGAATTTTTTTTCACACGCCAGCTGCTCGTTTGACGGTTTTCAATTTGTGTCGAAATTGGAAAAGGGCGAGGAAAAAACAAAAATAATCGACTCGGTTTAAACGACGTTGGCAGCCGAGTGGAACACAAGATAACACACACTATTTTCATCTGACTTGAGTCGGCCGTTCTATTTTTTTAATCCCAATCGTAAAATCATCCATCGGCCAAGTCGGCGCAAATTAATCGCATTAGTTTTAACGGTCGACTTTTTTTTTCTCTGTAGCTTTTCGTTAGTTAATTATTTACACCATCAATCAATTTACACGATTGCAATGAACGAGAAACGATTAAAGAGAGGTATACACTCTCTCTCTTTCATTCGGCGCTGGTGATTTATTCGTTAAATTATTAAATTGATCAAGTTTATCATTATTTCTTTTTTAAACTCCTTGCGATTAATTACATCATTTGACCGTACCAGACAAACACTGTACTGGAAATAGTTTAGTACCACACAATATATTCTTAATTATTTACTATAGTACGAACAAGTCCATATCGTGTACCCTTATCCTTTGAGTCACTTAACATGTTATCACCGTTAATAGCTGTTTATCTGTCACATTAACCAATATGTATTCTCCTATAAGTTAACAGTAAACTGTGTCTAATTGGCCACTCGCAGTCCGCTTTATTTTATTTTACCTAATAATAAAAGTCGTTTGTACAATAATAGTGTATGTTTGAAAATTATTCGAATAATATTATTTCGCTTCGCTGGGAAAGAGTGAGAATTAAAACAACAATCGAGATAGGGGGAAAAAAACTTTTATGGCAGGAAATCATTTTTTTTTTGAAGTGTAAAAAATAAGTACAACCCAGTACAGCTCGAGTAGGAATCACGGTCTAACGTGCTTGAGGTATGTCGTTTATAATGCGCGTTAATGAACACAATAATATATTATAATGGATTTGTTTTCAAGTATATTATACATTAATATATATTATGTATAGTACTACCGTTAAGAGGGAAATTCCATTGGAAAACCGTCGCGGCCTCAGAATTGTCCGCTTTTATTGAATCACCGCTACTTTTTTTTAACCATAGGTATTTTTTACATAGTTGGTTCCCTTTTGACGAAGAATACAGAGCGCGGTTTGACTATATTTTTTTTTACTATTGTTTGACATAAAAAAAAAAAAAAATAGAACGCAATATAATAACTATAGTGCACGCACACCACGGTGTATTGTTGTATATTTATATGTACAAAATACATAATAAATAGCGTTATTAGTGTTGTTATTACGCCGGCCAAAAAGACATGTCGGTTGTGGTGGTTTTTATATATTATCTTTTTATTATGGTCGGCTATAATGATAAACGACTGCAACGGACCGAATTGCATGCGTGGACACGTGACGTCACTGAAATGTGAATATTAACAGGAAAAAGTAACAAAAATTTATACCATACGAATATATAAAAAAATCACTCGACCGTTTTTTTTTTTTAAAAACATTTTTTACCATCGACCTGACCCGCTGTACCTATTGGTTACGTTACGTTGTGTGCATTGGTCGTCATGGAAACAAGACAATGACTCGAATAGTTCATAATATAACAGAATAACAATATATTATCTCTGCATTACAGAGAGCGGATTATTGTGGTATTAAAAAGTTCAACGTGTGCACTATAACGTTTTTCTCTGATCAATACATTTTTCACCTCAGCACAGCTTCGCCACGTTGGCACCACCACAAATGGTAATATTGATAATAGATTTAGATGAAAACACAACACTGTTACGGGCTATAGTAGTAGTAGTATGTATAGTACATCATCGATTACAAACAAATTAAATTTTCGGTTCTTACCGACTCTGATCACTCTTGCCAGTGTGTGTGTGTGTGTGACAAGAAGGGTTGTTTGTGGGCTCAAAGGAGAATCATTCATTTATTGGACGGTAGTCGGA